GATATATATATATATATATATATATATATATATATATATATATATAAACTAAAGCTAAATATAATTATTAGATACAAATGTTATTAAAAGTTGTATGCTTTGAATAATACCTAAAAAGGGTCATAAAGCATCTACTTTTTGTAAAAGGCTCAAATGCGACTCAAAGAAACCAGTATGACGATTCTTGATCTCTAGCTTTTTAAGTGCTGAATTTGGAAAACATGACAATTATCTATACCATATTAATAATTATTTAGACCAAAAGTCTTAATTATAAGTCTTAAAACATAAAATACTATTAATTTTTGTAATAGATTCAAAAATATCTTAAGTACAAACTATTATGCATAATGTACAAATGCTTAAAACATATCATTTGTTTGGTCAAAGTTTCAGATTTAAGTAAGTCATATTTACATGAAAAAGATATGTTTGGTCTTTCAAAGTTGTTTGATACTTTGTTTGTTTCCTATTTTGAACCCAAATTCAAATTCAAAGTCCTTCTTTCTCTTGAAGTAAATTGAAATTTGAAGCAACAATCTCAGAAAAGGTTTCAGATCCTGCATGTACCCCATCCCAACTCTTCAACTTTATATGGGTTTAGAAACTCAACATGTGTGCAATTATTTTTCCAATCGATCTTGCTAATACACCATATTAACCTTCAACTTTATATATTAGTTGATTTGTAAAATAATCATACAAACTCATGATTCAAGGCTAAACTAATGTTTCGAAATTGTGATTCACCCGTGTTGCATCGCACGGGTAAACCACTAGTATGTATGTATGTATGTATGTATGTATGTATGTATGTATATGTGTCTGTGTGTGTGTATATATATAAGAGTAAATTACAAAAATCATCCTTTGTATTTATGAACTCGATTTTCGAAAATTTATTAAACACTTTGTGATTTTCACTTTGTTATTGGACGTTTTAACAATTTTTAGGACACTTTTAATACAAAATGTCACACTATCATTTTTATAAACCGATCTTTTTATAGAATACTTTTTCAAATAGTGTCATATAAAACAGCTAATATGACGTGTTCTCATAAAAATGTCTATAAAATAGCTAATATGACGTTTTCTCATAAAAATGTCTATAAAATAGCTAATATGACGTTTTCTCATAAAAATGTTCTAACAAACTTATTACGACTCCCAAAAGCATGCTATAAACTTATTGCAACACCTTTAGATAAGACATTTTATTTTTTACTCTTATAAATTAGATCTTACAAAATGGTTTATTGGAACGCTTATTTATTGGCGCCGTCCTATAAACTCAATTTTGTTGTAATGAGGTGTAGAAGCAGAAGCAACGATGGGGGCGGCTTCAAAACCGGCCATGACAAGGAAGGTGGAGAAGCAGAAGCAATTTGAGTAGTGGTAGAGAGAGAGAGAGAGAGAAAATGAAGATGGAGATGGTCGGATGATCAACGTTTAATATGACGCTAAACCCTCGTTTCAATAACAATCGATAAATTACGACTTAATCATAAATATAATTTTAATATTTTTGTTTTAACATGAAATAAATTGCAATGATAATTTTAATCATCGTTTCCGGTTACCAATTAACTTTGACTTTCGTCAATAATTTTATTTTTATTTTTATTTTTATCTTATCTTTAATTTAATTTAATGTGAAAACCTAGAAAACCAAGCAAAATCTCAAAGAAAGCTTAGACGCTGTTTGGGTTGTTGGATATTAGTCCTACATAGGAAAAAGAAGGAAATTTTCATGTGTTTATATGGCCTTACACACATGAATTAGCAAGTTAGAGAGAGACCCAAATGAAGGATTGACATTGGGTAGCAATACCCAATATTAATGGTCAAAAGATGGGTCTTGGGGCTCTTATGACCCGGCTACGGTTTTGCCCGATCCGAGACCCGTCGGTAACTGCATTTTTGCGGTTCATATTTTTTTTTCGTGGCTGTTCGTCTTTCCAAAACACACAGAACAGAACGATCTCTCGATAATTTTTCTCTCTATATCGTTGCTTCACGGAACGTATTATCGATTCGATGGAATCGGATTGACGTGCATCAATCCGGTTAGATAGTTGTATCCTCAAGACGACGTCCGTTTACCAACGCACGATTGGGGGCGAAATTTCGTCTTAGGACACTGCTATGGCAAGCCTCTATCTCACGATCTTCGCATATAGATATCATCGTAAAGGTTAGATTTTACTAAATTTCTTGGTTAATTTCTGTTTGTTACTGTTTTGTTTCTAGTTTGGAAGGGTAATTCTATACTTCGTTGGATTGGTTCTAACATGGGTGAGGGTGGTTGTGCCCATGGCACCACCCATACACACAATACATATGTATTTTCTTTTTATACAAATGGTTTCCGTCGCTGCACATGAAAAAGTTTGGGACGACCATCCCAACCCAAATCTTAATTTGTTTCTTTTTCCATTTCCATTTTCTTTAATTAATTATTTATATATTTATTTTTAAGACATCAAACATTTATAAAAGAAAAAGGGAAAATTACATTAAAATGGAACCAACTTTCACCTGATTTTTATTTTGGGGAACCAACTTTCAAAATCGTCATTTTGGGAAACCAACTTTCACTTGATTCTTAATTTGGGGAACCAACTTTCAAAATCGTCATTTTGGGAAACCAACTTTCACCTGATTCCTAATTTGGGGAACCAACTTTCAAAATCGTCATTTTGGGAACCAACTTGCACCTGATTCCTATTTTGGGGAACCAACTTTTAAAATAATTATAGAAAAATGGGAAAATTATACCAAAATGGAACCAACTTTCACCTGATTTCTATTTTGATGAACCAACTTTTAAAATCGTCATTTAGTGGTCTTTATCAAACTTTTTGTTTATTTAAGAGTCTGGTTGATCTGTTGAACATGTAACAGGTAATTTAAAGGTCTCTATCAAACTTTTGGTTGGATTTGCCAAATTTGATTTAAACTTTAATATTGGCACAGATTGGTTAGATATAAAAATCTTGAATGTGATATTTAATATTTTTTTTATTGCATCAATTAATTTTTTTCTATTAAATTGATTTTTTATTGCATTAGTAAAAAACAATTTTTATCGTGGTAATTTGGATTTTTTTTGAAAAAATCTTCAATTTGATATCTGAATTAAAAAAAAACCAGATTTGAAATGAAAAATAGATTTTATTGCATTAATTTAAAAAAAAAAACGAATTTTAGTTATTTTTCTATAATTATTTTGCAAATTGGTTCCCCAAAATAAGAATTAGGTGCAAGTTGGTTCCCCAAAATGACGATTTTGCACGTTGGTTCCCCAAAATAGGAATCAGATGCAAATTGGTTCTCTAAAATGACGATTTTGAAAGTTGGTTCCCCAAAATAGAAAACAGGTGAAAGTTGGTTCTCCAAAATGACGATTTTGAAAGTTGGTTCTCCAAAATAGAAATCATATAAAAGTTGGTTTCATTTTGATGCAATTTTCCCAACAAAAAAAAATACGACTTATAGTCTAAGAATCTTGGATTTTTTAAAGTATATGAAATTAAAAAATACATAAATGCGGAAATCGATGGATATCAGAAAGAAAGTAAGTAAATTAGGTATTTATGACCCAAAGACATGGATGTGTATAACTATAAAGTGGGGTAACAATAACAATAGCATAGTTATTGATCATGGTCCCTCATCAAACCATTAAATATGCCTTCTACATTCGTTAGAATAAAATTCCATTAACCATGTAAATTAAATGTATATCCAACCACTTATTCATATGGTTTTCTTATTGAATTGGCTGAATGAATAAGGACAGACCCAACCACAATTTATTATATATCAACTCTTTACTCTTATGTATGGTGAGAATGCATATTCAAATGTGCAAGCATAATTATATAAATGATTTTCCATGCATTTTAAAACGAAACCAAAAAATTATTTAATATGATTTACTCGAAAATAAGGTCAGGAGAATAAAATGTACAGAGACGCACATATTCGGGTAGAGGACATAAAGATAAACATGGAAATATACAAAATGAAAATTTCTCAAATTTATTAAACCATAACCATCAATGCAATTGCAAATGCTAATTTCCAAACCAAATTGTTTTAACTTTTTGACTGCTTCTTCAACCCTAACATCTTGTTTAGGGCACCAAGATAAGCTCTGACACTGGAGATAACAATATCCATGGATGCTCCTGTTCCACTGCCAACAAAACCAAGAGTATCTTTTAGGTTCCATTTGTCTCTTGGATGGATATGATCTTTTTTGTAAGAAAAAATGGTCATGGTGGTAGATTAGACAATTTGTGCAAAAGGGTTTGTAGTGGGAAACTAGCGAACCCCTAACAAGCCCACACTGTTCCGTCCCAAGAACATCATGTGAGAGACAAATCAGATATATAATAACCTGCTAGTTAGCTTCTTAAAAGCCCAATTCCCAAGGAATCGTAACGCTCATACTGCGGCTTCCATACTTGAACTCTCACCAATTTGTGCAAGTATTCCATCCAAAAAATATAATAAAAATCCGACCAATTGCTTAACCAGGGTAGAGGAAAAGTTTGCATACATCCTACCTTCCATACCTGCATTTGCATGGATTTATTGGGTGGGTTTGGTTTATTAATTTGTGCGAGTGTGATTGTCGACTCTAAACACCATTTTAGTTCCATATTATGACCCCTACTTAATTCATTTTAGCTTGGGTCAAGCACCCGGGCCCACAATCAAAGTCCTATTTTTCGTTAAGTATAAGTAACACCCACAGGATGGAAATGTCGATGATCAAAACAAATCATGCCTCATAAGGAATCTCAAAGGGCCACAGACATAAAATTTTGCAAGGATGACCACTTCCTTACCAGCTAAGTTAAAGCCACGAGGACACCAAACGAAAACATAAACATGCGTACCTATAAGTCCGCACAACTTTTTCTCCACTAAAAGCATGAGTTGCTACGAGGTTGTTTTCTCCGCTAACTAGAACACGGGTGCTGGCTATAGCGTCAATGCCCGCGGTTACAGCAGACATTGAATACTCTAGCAGTTTTACAGGTGCCTGTAAAAGAGATATCATCAATCATTATGTGATGCCAATATAAGGATTCATGGATGCAAGTTAAGATTCATGATTCAAACCTTAACAATGAGATCCACCGCCTTATAAGCGGCATCAACTGGTCCAGTTCCAGTGGAGCAAGCAATGTGTTCTATTCCATCTTTATCTAATAGTTTAACTGTTGCTGTAGAAAGACCAAGAGTCCCACATGTAACCTGTGAATTATGATTTGGGTTCCGTTAATGGAGTTCTAGAAAATCAATCTTGATTCGAAAATGAAGATACGTGTGTAAGTGGGGTCCGATTTAAACCTGAACATCCCCAAACTTCCAGAAAACTTGTGGCTGAAAAACTTCGTCTGAAACCAAGGCTACTAAATCATCATCCGTGATAACCTGGAACAAAAATAGCAGGCAGAACTATATAACTCGCATTTTAATAGTAGATAGATACTTGATACCATTAAAAGAAGAGTTTTTTATACCTTTTTCAGTTCAGCAACGGATTTGAAGCGCCAAAAGAGATCATTAAGTTCCTTTCCATCTATGTCGTAACCAAGCTGAAGAGAAAATGGAACAGATTTAATGCAGTACAAGAAAGGTGTTGTTCAGTTACAAGTCGATGAGTTCAACAATGCACTTTACCTCAAAAAGTTTAGATTTCAGAGCATGTCGTCCACTGTACAAAAATTGTTGAAAATCATTAGAATACCCAATCAACAGAACATAATCTTCAGTAATGAAGCAGTCAGGGAGGGGCAAGGGCTAGGCTATCAATGAACAACCCTGAGTGTGTTTATATATAGGCATAATCATATGAGAACATCAAAAACATTGAGAACTTGTGAAACATGTATTGTTTCACAACGAAACATACAGTATTGTCTCAAATTCTGAAACAAATGATACATGACCAATTGTCTGTAAGTTTCACATTGTGAAACAAATACATGTGAAATCATACCTTATCCTAGCCTTAGATGAAACAATTACATGTGAAATGATATGTTGACATACCAAAGTTTTCCATGTCTAAGCCCAGATTCGTTAGAAGAACTTGACCCAAATAATCATAGAACATATATATCAGAAACTTGGCAATAACAAAAATGACCAACTTTCATTCAACATACCTAAGTTTTCCAAGTGTAAGTCCAGATTCATTAGATCGGTGAAGTCCAATATCTTCAGGAGACATGATTTCATATGTGCTTTTGTTCTTTAGCATTCCGTCCTACAAAATAGAACACAGGACTGTATCTAGTAAGTTGATTGAAAATTATAAGAACAAGCCACATGACAATTTATACTTAGGCCACAAACTAGTATAACCGGCCATGATGTCAAATAGATGAACTAAACAAAGTTATAATTTAATCAACTTTTACCATGGGAAGGGTGATAAAAAGAACAGATAATGAGCTCTTCAGACATAAGGTTCATAAAGCAAACTCTCATCAAGTAAGGGGGAAGGGGTGGAATGTGCACAAAAGGCGGCAGCCATGATTAATATTAAACCAAAGGATCGGCTGAGCTTTTTCTTATAACCGTAACCAAAGACCAACCTGATGGATTCCACTTTCATGAGCAAAAGCATTTGCACCAACAATAGCCTTGTGTGGCTGTACCTGCAGTCCACTGTACTCTTCCACCTAAATAACACAAGTTCAAAGTGAACAGAGAGTCACTTGTTAGAATAGATTCTTAAAAGTAAAGCCTTGAATATATATATATATAGACACACACACAGGCATATATATATACATATATATATATATACCATCTTGCTAGCCATGACAATGTGTCTTGTATTGATGCCAGTGTGAAGACCACCCAATACATCTCCTTTGCATTTTATAGTCATTACCACCTATATTCAACAAAAAAGTGTGGCACCCATTAGTTAAAGAACTTTTAAACTAACACATAAGTTAAAATGGTTTAGATACCAATATCCTGTTGGATATGGATTTTGTTAAGTTATCAAGAACAAGCAACATCACAAATAGGCACATTACACTCACCTCTTCCAAAGAAGCATTACCAGCTCTCTCTCCAATTCCGTTTATTGTTACTTCTAATTGTCTTGCACCTGAATAAGCCCCCTGGAATTCATGGACTATTTTGCTCAAGAACCTCAAATGAGAACTTTATTAAGACCATAACCTTCTGAAAAAGTTTAGTGGCATTCTTGTACACAGAGGTGGCATTCTAAAACTTGTGAGAAGGTCATAGATTTAAAAGAAAAATGGGAGGTCATTCAATCAACAGACCCTGGAATTCATGTAGGTTAGCATACAAATGAAACACAAACTAAAAACATAACCAATGTATACGCCTACCTCTAAAGTATTGGCAGTAGAAAGTCCAAGATCATTCTGGCAGTGGGTAGAAATAATGACGTTTTCAATGCCAGGGGTGTTGGCTTTTATATCAGCAATGAGCTGCCCGAACTCGCGAGGCCAGTTATAGCCAACAGTATCAGGAATGTTAAGAGTTGTTGCACCTGCTTTAATAACCTCACCCAAGATCTCATACAAAAATTCTCTCTCTGATCTGTTAACAAACATAACAGAAACCCACGTTTGAATTGATATTGAGATAGTAATACAAGTTCTTCCTTTCTGACCAGATCATAGAACAAATCCATAGTTGCGTAGGATCACACATATCATTAAACATGCTTTGACTTTTCAAATAATTGTACTTCACTTTTCATTGCAAACCAACCATTATTCTTAGTTCTTACCCCAAAAACTACACTTTGCTACAACGGCTTTTCGGTCCCTTCCAAAACTTTTAAGAAAGAAGTTTAAAGGAAAGAGCATCTCTACCCCTAGGGGAAGATGTATGGTATACATACTTTATACCCTCCCCAGGATGGGATATATTCGGTACATTCGGTTTGGTTTACTTGGCTACTACGAGTGATCTTGGACAAAAAGTACCAATGGTTCCTTTTACATGTAAACAATTTGTTCAATATAGCTTATCAATGCAAACTTTAAAGCTTCTTTTTTTGGCATTTATGATGGGTTTGCAGGAAAAAGTTGAGTATCGTTACAAGAACAGCAATCCCTCATAAAGTATATCACTGGCAGTCTAAAACATTTCAGACCAACAAATCACTATGGAAAATTAGATCAACATCTTCCCACATTAAAAACATAAACATTACTAAACGATAAACCCTAATTCATAACTCAACATCCATATTGCACAACAATAACCCTAAATCTAACAAAAGCAATTAGGAAGAATCACACAAGGCATTTTTGGGAATAAATCCTGATAGTGTACCTTAGTTGTGGGCAAAAAGAAGATGATTTATTCTTCACATTATACAAACTTGAAACCATGAGTGATATATATATATATAGGGAGAGAGAAAGAGAGAGAGATTTACCTCCCAGCATCTTCAGGGCTAAACTCAACGTCATTACAGCCCAAACTTCTGGCATATGCGACCATACTCCTAGCTTTTTCAATCACTTGTTCTTTGGACATCTTGAGCTTATACTGCATATGAATCTCACTGGTGGCTATAAAAGTATGAATCCTGGGGAATTTGGCATGCTTCACGGCCTCCCATGACTTATCAATGTCATTCTTATTGCATCTCGCCAAGCCGCAAATGACGGGCACATGACCACCCTCTTCGGCGGCCACATTTCCGACCTCCTGAGCAATCAACTTAACGGCCTGTAGGTCAGCTTCGGAGGAAGCAGGGAAACCTGCTTCAATAATGTCCACACCCAGTTTCGCAAGTTGACGGGCAATATCGAGCTTTTCCTTSGTGGTCATGGTGGCWCCTGGAGACTGTTCYCCGTCTCGRAGAGTGGTATCAAAGATWCGAACATAYTTAGGGTCRGAAATGTGGTTAGGGATGTAGTCCGGGCGGCGGSAGCARAGGATTGAGAASGAGTTWTGTGATTGGGATTTTGAGGGTTTGAAATAGAATAGAGCGCGGATTGGGTTGGTGGAGGAGGAGGTGGTGGTGGTGGTGGTCGGAGAAAAGAAAGTAGAGAGATGTGAAAGAGACGCCGCCATGGCTATGGTTGAGACAGAGCAGAGAGAAGAGAGTTAAAGGGGATTTTGTGGAGCTTTAAATGTCAAAAAATCCCCTGCTAACAAATACCGTTGTTGTTTATTTACCCTTATATTCAAATCATGACACTTCAGTCCTATGATTAAAAGAGATTTCGGGGAAATTTATGTAAGAGTTAATGGTATTTTATAGCTATAATTGAGTAGTAGCTCATAGATCATTTAAAACAGAATATTTATTATTTGAGTCATATCATAATATAAAATGACTGACAGGATGAATATTATTCGACTCATATCTTAATATAAAAAGACTAATAGCAAGAATATTTGAAATAACAATTCAATATAAAATGCAAACCATTTAATTTGTATAAATCGTGTAAATTTTATTTAATTAATCACAACTTTTTTTGTAATTATGAGAGGTTGATTAATCATTTTTATTGTGAAAGGTGTTAATCATGAATATTATCATCTTTATTATTTTAATTTTAACGAAATATATGAAACAGTTTCATTAAAATTTCATTAGGTATTATATGAAATAATTTCATGACCATATATGAAACAACTTCATCAAAAAATGTATTATATGAAACAATTTCATAGAAAAAAAAATCATAAGATTAAACAATGAAATCGACGGATGAAGGTGGTTTGCACAATTTATACAAATTAGGTGGTTTGCATTTGATCGTTCCACCCTCCCTCTCTCTCTCTCTCTCTCTCTATATATATATATATATATATATATATATATATATATATATTAGCAACGTACCTGCACAAGATGTTTTAAGTTTTGTTTTATTTCTCCGTCCCTTTTGTTGCTAATTTTATAGTTTGTTGTAATTTTAAATCATAAATCAGATGATTTATAAATTCAAAGGTAAAATGTTCCATTGGTCAAATTTTTTGAAATAATGTTTTTAACCCAAAGTATTTGTTGTTCTTGTCTTTTAAAGATCAAATTATGCATTAATTGGTGGTTTATAGTTTTTACAACTTGTAATTGAAAAATAAAATACAAATTTTATGTTTTAATAAAAAAAATATTGTAAGAATACTCAAAAACTATCTCCGTTTTGAAGAAAAAAAAATGATTGAGTACCATAATATTTCAAAAAGATAGACCGATAGTAAAGTGAAGCAAATCAATTGGATTCTCATGTTCCATATAGAAACTATTTATGAAAATCAAGTCGATTTATTCTAATTAAAAAGCAATATGAAACATTAATCCTGAAAAATGTGGCTTTGTATCAAAAAGATTATTTATTACATAGACCGATTGATGTTTCACAGTGTTTCTCAATAAAAAAAGCTTTTAATAATCAAATCTAAGAATGATGATAAATAGAAACCATTGCCCTGAAAGACTTAACACAACAGCCGTCATGGCACGCCATGATTCAAGGCTCATGTATGACACGTCGACGTCAAAGCTTATGACATGCATGGGTCAATACACAATTTCGTAATGTTGTATTTGATTTTTCTTATGTATTTAGTGTCTTTTAATGAAGTAATGAATAAAAATATAAAGATGTACTTTGATTTCTTGGGATCGCAAGGTTCTTATATATGATAGAGGTCTACAAACGGTCTCAAAAAGTATGTTGCTAATAATTATATTATGAATAACTAATCAGAAAAACTCAAGCAAACATCAACTAAATCAGTTTAGACATTGTTTGGAAAATTAATAAGTAGTTTGTTTGTTGGGTACACCTTTAAATGGACATAAAACTATTTGGAATAGCTTTTTAGGGGATTATTATTACTTTTTTCAATTATAACATTGATTAATATTAATAGTTATTTATTACTATTAATTAAAAATAAATGTTAATTGTTCATAAAATATTAATAAAAATTAACTATTACTAATATTAATAAATATTAAATCTAATTATTAATTTTTTGTAATTGGTTAATAAAGAAAATACAATTTTCAATGTATGGTAAAGTGTAAAATGAAAAATGAATATGTATTGATATAAAATAAATTAATTCATGGGCATTAATGATATTTAATAGTATTATTAAATCTATAATATTCAATTATAATACCCCATATTTAGAAAAGCTAATCATAGCCGAAAGCCCAATTATGTCCAATTTTTGAAATCGTGTTTTGTTTACTTGTATCTTAGTATTCAAGAGTTGTTCATTAAGTCAAGTTCTTTATATATATATATAATTGTTGGTTGAAACAATATTGGTTAGAACCAAATTGTAAGGGAATTGCTAAAGTAGGGTTAATTTGGGAATAAATTTAAGATCAAGGGTTAGATGGTAAATATTATAATTATATATATGAATTTTTATTTTTTAAAACCCAAAATCAGATTTCTCTCAATGTTCATTTGGTTTTCTCCTCTTTCTCTCTAGAAAACCCTAAAATTCTCTCTAGAAAACCCTAAAATTCAACCATAAACCTCAAATCTCTTGTGGAATTCCAAGATCTTTGAAGATTGTAGGTTATATTTGGAATTATGACTCAAAATAAGGTATGTTTATGGTTTGATTTTTTTGTGGTTTCTTCTTCTTTGGGAAATATAGGTTAAACCTTAAAGGGGCATTTGGTTCGTAAAATGATTTATGAATGAATGGAATATGTCAAAGGAATTGGAATCTGTAAGGAATTGGAATGAAATGTTATCAGGTTTGACCAAGTGTTTGGTTGGCAGGAATGAAATGTAATATGTTTAATGAAATGGAATTTGTCTGTTTGGTTTGCAACAGAATTAGAATGAAATGATGAAAAAGGACAAAAAATACCCTTTCTTTGATAATTTTTTTTTAAAAATTATTATTTTCAATTTCAAATAACAATAAAATTAACATTTCAATGAGGAAAAAAATGTTTACCATTTATGAAAACATTTAAAGTCATAAAACGTGTAAATATCGATATTTTCAATAGATTACGTCTTTAATTTTTGCTGCATCAATTTTTTTATTACAAAACTATTATATATATATATATATATATATATATATATAAATATAAATGAAGATGCAGTCTTGGTTTTAGGGTTTCTTCTTCTCTTTCTTTTATTTCTAGCAAAATGATAGGCGTCTCTCGAATCAGTAATCGATTTGGAAAAGAAATGTCTTCTTCACTGGCGAAATTGTTAAGCAGAAATCGATTTGGTAAACGACATGCATTGGAGAAATCGTTAAGTAGAAATCGATTTGGTAAATGACAGGCGTCGGAGAAATTGTTACGAATCAGATAAGCAGAAACTGGAAGCAACATCAGTAATCGATAAGCAGAAACGGAAAGCAGGCAGAAATCGTTAAGCGAAAACAGGAAGCAACAGATAAGCAAAAATCTTTAAGCAGAACCTGGAAGCAACAACAGTAATCGATAAGCAGAAACGGGAAGCAAACATAAATTGTTAAGTAGAAACCGGAAGCAGGAGATAAGCAGAAGTCGTTAAGGAACAACAGTATTCGATAAGAAGAAACAGGAAGCAAGCATAAATCGTTAAGCAAATGATAAAACTAGAAGAGGGTATTTTTGTCATTTACACGATTTTGGATGGAATGGATTTCAATTCCATCACTTTTATGAAGGAATGGTGAAATTCTTAAATGAGGGAATGTTTGGAATTCAATTTCATTCCATGGGTAATCAAACGTTGGAACGAAATTTAGTCAATAGAATTGATCATTCCAATTCCACCAGATTCCGGCGAATTTCGACGAACCAAACTCCCCCTAAGTGTATTCATGAATGTAAGTGAAAGATTGATGATTTGAGGTGGAATTTCTTCAAGATTGGTGTTGTTGGAAGTGACAGAGTCAATTCAGTAAGTTTGAAAATTCGTATAAAATCAACCATTTATCCAAATGAGATGTTATTTATATGAACAGAAAGATCCATGAGTGTACTACAACTTTGTAGTTTACACAACATCTAGTTCTGAGTGTAACTCGAAAACATTGGGTTTTCCAGCCCTGTTCTGCAACTTCGAAATTTTGCTCTGTTAGTGTAAATTATGTAGTAACTATACTAGAGCTCCAAATTATGTGAAACCAGTTTCTTTGAAATCCTAAGAGGTATATCTAGAACTTTAATTTTTACATGAAAGTTTGGTTAATCTTCTAAGTATGAGAAAAAGGCTTAAACTTTAGGTGTTAATAATATGTTAGCTAATGTTTTGATATGTATAGATTGGATTTTTACAAATTTTGTTTAGGGTTCTATTAATTGTATTGAGTGTTTATTAAGTGTCCTAAGGGTATTTTAAGCACATTTAAAGGTCCGTAGGATATTTTTATCTATAAGGGCTTGTAGGAACTTGAAATTGATAAGAATTGTTACCGAAAGTCGTCTAAAGGTATTTTTTTTTCTAACAAGTGTAGGTAACCCGGAAAGAGAGAACCATTCATAAGCCTCAAGCCTCTTGTGACTATTTCTAACACTTACAAGGTACGAATATCTATATTCTTTCAATACGTAAGTAAACAAATGTAGTGATTATCCATTCCGCGGAATCTTGATCATGGTATTCATCCACAAAAGTGGAGGTTATCAAGATGTTATCCGAAATCTTTTGTGTTTATGAGATGTCTTGTTTTAAAGACTTTGTATGCTTGAGACTTTGATCCATTAACAGTGTATTCTATGATTCTTGCCGATAAATTAATTTGAAAGCTTCATGGTTTTATTATTCTAGTTATCTCATGTTAAATTATTCATACGGTTAAGGAGTTTGAGTTTAAAGTTATTGAATTTAGTTATGACTAGGTTCAGTACTTGGAGCACAGGTATTGAGACGCCTCAATGATGGCTAAAATAGTCATGACATTCTCATAAGGGTTATGGCCAAGCCAAATAAAGAATGTTGGATGCATCCTTGAACTGAATACCATGTACCATGGTTACCGGATAGAGCCGAATACCAATTACATTGGTTACCAGATAGAACCGAATACCATGTATCTTTGGTTACCGGGGAATGAGATGGTGTGGTGCCCAACACTTCCATTTCAT